GACCTAGGCAGGTACTCAATCCCCTGAGCCCTGGGCATGTCACCTGTCAAATAAGTGTATTCACATCTGCTTCCCAGGTCTTGTGTGGGAACTGAATGATGGGGTGTGTGTAGGGGATGCTTCTAGTGGTGGTGGCTGATGGTAGAGGTGCAGGAAGGAAGGCGGGTGTCCTGCTCTCTTCCCAGGTACATACAAAGTCAAGATGGCCCTGCAAGGACGCAGATGGCCACAGGGTTGTTATCCAGGCTTCTCCCTGCCTCCTTGCCGCAGGCTTGCAGGCCCGAGTCAGTCACACAGTGGCACTGTGGTCTGTGAGTCGGTCCTAGAGCTCTGGCTCAGAGAACTGAACACTCTCAAGGTACCTGTTCAGGATTGAGACCTGTAATTCTCTCAGTGGCCTGTGTTCAGGGCTCACACTGATCCTGCCATTGTCCTGCTATAAAGTTAGGATGGTTTCTACTGCCACCAGGATTTACCAGTGAAGCCAAAAGATGCTGGTCTCCATCCTGCCAGTGTGGTCCCAGGGAGCTAGCTGCATTATCTCTCTGGACAGTAGCTCCATAAAATAAGGAGTTGGGTTCTAAGGGGAAGCCACAGCTGGCACCTGCACCTGGCTTCCTCTGGCATACCGGCTCGGTCCATGGAGGGTCAAAAAAAAAAAAAAGGTGACTTGCCTGGCCGTGTGGCTCAGTGTTTGAGCAGATCATCGATATTTCTGTCTCACTGATGTTTCTATTTCTAAAAATTTCCTCTCTCAAATGAAATCAATAAAAATATATTTTAAAATGTTTTTATTTAAAAAATAGCTTGAACTGGATGCCAATATTTAAAAATAACTTGAATTGACTACCAGTATTTAAAATAAAGAGACTTCACACAAAAATAGTGAGTCCCATTTATCTTTAAAAACAACATCAGCAACACAGAGCTGGAGATGAGGAGCCTTCCCTTATATCCCAATCTCCGCTTGGCTCTCTTATGTTTACATTAATACTAACAGGGACCCGCTGCAGTGAGTCCTAAAACTGCTATATAGTTCAGCCAGTATCACTTAGAGAACCTCCCGTCCTTTTTCAAAAAGGACCCATTCCCAGAGCGTGTTTGCAAGACCCAGAGACTGGAGGTCCTATAAAATCTTCAGGGTCCCCAGATGGCTCGGGGCAATATTTCTCCTACCCACTTTGTCCGAACCTCACTTTGTAACCCTAAGGTGTCCAGGGACACGTCCTTGCACACTTGTTCTTCAGGTGCTGCTCTGAGACCTGGGAGCAAATGGTGATTGACAGGGTTGGGTTTTGCTGTTGTTTCCCTTAAAATTGTGTGAGGAACGATTAAATGGCCACGACTCAAAAGGAGAAGGATGTACCCCTCCTGAGGCCATGTCTACGCATGACCTGAGTGGCCACGGGGCCAGCTTAGTGAAAAACACCAGTCAGAGGGGCCTCGTGATTGAACTGACAGACCAATTCCCTGGCCATGGAAGGCAGCCTTGGGCTATCGCTGGGGGCAGGGCAGCTGGCCCTTTGGTTTTTTTCCCATTTAAAGCACTTTGCAGATTCTCTAGCCCAAGGTAGAGATTCAGCTCAATGTCTGTGGATTGATTGATTAATTTAAAGCCCCTGAGAGATCCTGTAGGTTCACAGATAAAGCTACATGAGCTGAAAATTTTCCTGTCTTCCTCAAAAGGAAAATGTTCAAGTAGCAGCCCTGTAATTGGAGATGATTTACATTTCTGTCTTGATCTCAGAACCGGAGGAGTGGATGAGAGCCTCCACCAGCTCCCACTGGGGTCTGGTCCAGATTCTTACCCAACACCTTCAAGACATGGGCCAAGCTTCTGAGGCCCCAAAGTGTGGTGTGGTTGTTTAGATTTAGGGGGCCAAAGGAGTCATGGTCTCAATGCTGACTCTATGCAATTCACTGAAAACTACCTGTGCCTCGGTTTCCCTACTGAGAAATAGGGATTTGAGTGAGATACTGATGTTAAGTGCTTAGCACAGTTTTGGGCCCAGAAGAGATGCTCACTAAAGGATACCTGTTATTATAAAGGTGATGCCAATGACCACCAACACGGTTTCACCAAACAAGAACGCTAACACTGCAGGGCTGCTCTAACTCAGATTAAAGTATCCCCAATGCCATTTTGGGGTGCACCATGGCCACCTAGACACTAAGGACTTCTGCATTTTCATGGAGTGATGCCCCAGGTCATCCAGCAAGCTGACTTTGAAAGGAGACTTCCTTTCAAGATGCTTGCCTGCTGAGTTTTCCATGCTTCCAAACCAGGAGACACTGGGATCTTAGATGTTACCTACCGTGAGGCACCCTGGCTAAGGTATCCAGGGGTCCTCGGTCTCTCCCCAGAGTGAGACCCCTCACCTGGAAAGAAATCTCTGGCTATTTGCTGAATTAGATCACGGCAAAATGAACCAACATGCACCGGGGCATGGAAGGGAGATGTGAAGTTAATAATACCATATAAATTCAATTTGCATTCCCCTCTTGATTTTCACCCAATCTACATGAGCTCTCCCAAATAAGTAGTCATTTGAAATCCTCCCACGTGACAGACCGTCTTACACATTTTAAAACACCGTCCCTTTAATAAACTCAAACCGCACAATGTGGCTTTAACTGGTTCTAGAATATTCTGATAGTGAAATATTTTCTGTTTCTGGGCCAGAACTGGTCATTTCTTCTTGAGAATATGATGTTTGAAAATCAGTTCCTCCTATTATAGATTTCTCCCTCAGCTTGTAGAAAATCCATGATTCCCTAAACATTGGTCTTTGAAAGCACATTGACTAAAATCTTCATGCTTAATTCAT